TCATTGAGATTTGTATTTAAAATATCTCTGTTGCTTTTAATGGTAGAAAAATGTGTTATCAGAGAGAATTTTTTGGTTTATATGGTAACATGCCTTGATAGACCATAGGATTATCTCAAGGTCATAGTTTCCGAAATCTCAAGGTCATCAATGTTTCCCCAATGGGATGTTGTATTTTAATTATTGTGGCATTGTAACTGATAAAATAACGAATTCAAATGTGTATGATATGTTGACTCTGTAAGATGGAGTATGATTGTATACAAATAATTCCTCCCAAGGTCATCTGACGGAATTTTCAATAAGGAAATTCAACATATTATACGTGTTTGAATTCGTCTTTTTAACAGGTACAATGCCACAATTATTAAAGTACACCATCCCGTTTGAGAAACATTGATGACTTTGAAATTTCCGAAACTATGACCTTCAGATACAATTCGCATAGATGGTAATATTGCTTCTCTGAATCTGAAAGGTTTCTATCCGAACAATTTTTTCGTATCGTTTAAAACAGCGGACATATTTAGGCTGATCAATTTAACTGGAATACCCTATATACGAATATGAAAAAAAAATAAAGTAGAACATCGAGCAAAGTCTTCCATTAATAAATTACTGGTTTTCTCGTTCCGCTTCTCTTTGGTGGCGGAAGAAAACATGAATCGCAACAAGTGACTCACCCCGCTTATGGGCAGGAAAAAACCGACGATGTAGAGGATCGTGTTGGTGACCGTCGACTCGTGGAACGGGTGATACAATGACTCGTCATTGCAGAAGAATCCACGTTTGTACGGTTTGCCGTAGAGGAAAAACATCAACACCCCCATGCCGACTGAAACAATAAAAGAAAATCGAATTTTAATTGGTTAATGCCATTTCCATTCCATGGAATCTTCACGGGGCGTGCAAAAATGAAGTCATCACCACTTCCTGTTTTACTTTGTATTGTTGTATATTATATTGTATTCTTACCTATCGTTCTGTATATTTATGTATTAATCTACATTATTCTATGTTATTGTCTATTTTTACGTATTATTGTACGTATTCATGTATTATTCTCTATTGTTTCGTATTATTTTGTATTGTCATATACAGACTGGATGATTTTTAATTCTGTACATTCATGTATTAATCTGGATTATTCTGTGTTATTCTGTATTTTTACCTATTATTCTGTGTATTCATGTATTATTCTCTATTATTCTGTATTATTTCGATATATTTTTGAATTGATGAAGTGAAGAAACGAAGAATTGGGGAATTGACGAAATGAAGAAATGCAGAATTATAGAAATGGAAAATTAAAGAAATACAAATTGAAAAAATGAGGAATTGATGAAATCATGAAATGAAGAAGTGGGGAATTGAAGAAATGGAAAATTAAAGAAATAGAAAATTGAAGAAATAGGAAGTTGAAAAAATGAGGAATTGATGAAGCGATACGCGTATACAGTTTTATACAAGTTCACAACAGATGTGTGATAAATGTTGTAGAAATTAAAAAAATTCATGCACTTTATGAGCTCACCTTAAATCTACGAAAGTCGTCTACTAAAAATGTCGAACAATTCACACGCTACTTTACCAACTCACAACAAACTCGTCCAAAACTTGTATAAATATCCAAAACCGAGCATTTTATAATTTCTAAGCAAGTCACGCCACAAAGTTTCAAAAATCTCGAAAACTTCATATATTTAACATATTTACGTAATCGCGTTTCAGAATTAACAAAAATGTATCTCCGGCGAAAAATTCGTCTAATATATTCGTGAATAATTTATCGCCACCAGTTTTCATTAGAATAAATCTCCATTGGGAACGAAATTTCATTTCGTCATTCAGCGGTGACTTTCGTACACATTTATCCAGCGTTCTCGCAACTTTATTCTCGATAGAATCGCCGAGAATAAACCTTTATTGGCGTGATTATTCCCAAGGAGAATTTATTCGAATAACTCTCGACTCCGCGCGATGGTAAGTACACGTATGTGTAATGCGCCAGTGGGAACACGAACCAGTCCGTAAAATATATGCAGGGTGATGGGGAGCGTTGGCCAGCTGCATAAATAACAACCCTGCGCGATCTCGCAAATTGTTACAAGCAGCCCACCGTATTGCCTCGTTTCACTCAAAGCGGAGTCACAATTATCTTAATAGCTGACTCGCTCGAGCGATTTCCAGGTAGCGCCGCGCGCTGTGCCCGCGAGATTTTCATAAGTAAATGCAGGGAACACGTCAGCGTTTCGGGATCGTGCCGTAATTTTCTCACGTCGTTAACGATTTTTTTGCGTACGGCCGAGCAACTTCGGTATTTGTTTCAAAATCGACGGAGGAGGGGCAAATCAATTATTTTACGACGGATATATGTATGATAAGTGAAGGAGATATAACAGACTTAACCCTTTCAGGCTTTACTTGTTTTTCTTAAACGGAAATGATATTATTTCGTTGGAATATCGTGTTATTTTATTACATAATTATTTAGGCACTTTTTACAGGATATCGTTTAAAATATTATTACAAATTATTACAAATTTCTTCATCTCTTTAATTCCCCACTTTCTCATTTCATCAATTCCTCATTTCTTCAATTCCCCATTTCTTCATCTCTTCA